AATCGAAGGTGCACATTTTCAGCTGACCTCTGTGGCAAGTAAACACTGGTAGCTCCCCCGTAAAGGGTCAATTTTTTATATAAACATGACGCCATAAAAAGCAAAATGGGCATACGATTCTTTTCAAACGTAGCATATCCTAATATTTCCACAAAACACAATATCTGGTATGGAGATGGGATACATCGGCCTACTCGTTTTGGTACATCCACAACAAAGGGTCAAAATATTGATTAATTATAACTCCTATAAAATGTAAAATAAGAGTACAATTTGTTTCAAGTTTTTGATATTGCAATATATTTACCAACACAATATTGGGTATGAGGATAAAATATTTTGGACCACTCCTTCTGGTATCTTCCCCATGACGGTTCAAAATTTTGAATAATTATGCCTCTCAGGAGATGCGAATTAAGCACTCCTTCAAATTTTACATATGTCAATATTTTTATTAAGAAAATATTTGTTGTGAAAATGGATATATGGATTCACTCCTTCTGGTACCACACCCACATCGGGTCAAAATTTTGATTAATTATATAGAATTTTAGTTTTATTTAATTCTTTGGTTCCTCTTCCATAGAGCTTACGATCTCGTCGCTTGGGCAAAAAATGTTTTTTGTCATAGAACTCATTTTTAAAATAACTTATAACTGGGGAGAAGATCCCAGACAAAAAAACAATGAACTGGTGAGGATTGGTCGCTTTTTCCGAAACCTAGGTATTCCCTGCCTTACCCCCTGGTAAACATTACCGTCGTTCTCCACTAATAAACAAATATTGTTTTTATAAAAACAACAATAAAGGGATTAAGCCTGACAATTTTGCAACAACAAAAAAATTATATCTCATAAAATGTAAAATAAGCATTTGATTTTTTCCAAATCTCGCATATTCCAATATTTCTACCAACACAAGATCTGGTGTGAAGTCGATAGATATCGGCCCACCCCTTCTTGTGCCTCTCTCATAAAGGGACATAATTGTTAGTATTTATATATTTCATAACTTGCGAAACAAGTAAGCGATTATTTAGAAACTTGGTATATATAAAACTCTCTACCAGGATCTGATGTGAGTAAGGAATATATGGGCTCGCAACAAAAGTTAAACATTTTGAGTATCATGCATATTGGGAATAAATATTCATTATTCTTTTAAGTTTTGCACATACCAATATTTTTATCAGTATTAGATGAAGTGGAAAACTTCGGACTCCTATATCAATAATTATCGCATGCCTCATATATATTAAAGGAAGTGGTAAATATCATCCCAATTTTGACATGTTATAACATTTATATCAGAATCAGGTCAGATACGAAATGGACAATGTTGGCCCACTTCTTCGGAACTTCCCCCACAAAGAGTCAACTGTTTGAATAATCATAACGCAAAGCTGGGTGTATGCATCTTTCGGCAAAACCGAAATTTTTGAAAATGTAAAATTCCCTCGAACCCAGGAATTTTAGGTATATACATTCAACAGCAATATTTCCAACAAAGAACAAGGGAAATATTTTTTTTAACCAAAACTCCATACAGATACCATCGCGTCGGATAAGATACATTGGCCTTGTTTAAAAAAATATTGTCATTCACTAGCACAATATGAAATATAAGATGTTTATTGGCATTCTTCTAAAAATTCTTGATTTAAAACACTTCAACAATTGAAAATTCTTAATACAAATGTATGTACTTTCAGTTTTTGGAATGTGCTTAATTTGTTAAAGCAAAAGAAACTTGACTTCACACACACAGACGCATGCAACCAATATTCTCTTATCACAGCTGCATGTATTGGTCTTAAAGAAGCAAGTATCACTTGCAGTGCTACAAAATTATCTAAAATCATCTTCAACATAGATATATACATACTACATATACATACATACATACTGACCATAGCTACGAGTAACATATTCATATTCACCTTTAAGCCTTTTTTGATTTGCTTGCCGAGCAAATCTGTCCTTCAGAGGACATCCATAAATTCATATTCATAAAGATTAGAAATGAAATATTTGAGCAATGGCCAGAGGACAAAACTTTTACTGACTTTGAGAATGACACTGACGATGGGTCAGCTTTGGGGGGGATGGTTTCGAATGAAGAGAAGAACCGTATTAGCAATGTTTAAAATATGTCCGATAGTGTTTTGCATACTCGAGTTATATTAAGTGCTACTTTTTTAAACTCGTCCAGAATATGTATGAGAGCTGGCTAATGCTTGTGTGTCCATACATGTATTGAGGTTATTCATGCTTGTGTTGCTTAACTTTAAAGCTTTGCTAACTTCAAAGGTGAGGTATGAAAGGGATTTAGTGCATAATCGAAATGTTGACATTACACACTTCGATAATTGAGCTCATCACGACAAAACACTAAAGAATAAAGTAAATAATCCAAAACTTGAAAGTGTTTTAAATTTAGCCTTTGCTCTAACAACGCATTTTAGCCTTATATAATTATTCACTTAAAAACACTCCTTGATATAAAGGTATCTTCATTCGTTTTTTTTTTTGTTATTCCTGCCAAATTTTCCTCCAAATTTCTGCAAGTAGGAACATACAATCCAAATTTCAATAACTATAAAAATACAAGAAAAATAGTATCGGTCTTTTTTCCCACAGATGGATACCCAAGGCATAACGCATGGTTATTCACACTGTTGAACATTTATGGGGGTAGTTCCGATGAAGTAGACCAATATTGCCCATTTCGTATCTGACCTAAGTCTAATATAAATATCTGTACGACGCAGATTTGGGTTTTCTCGACTACTTTCTTCACATTTCATGAGATATGTAACAATTTTTGGAAATATTGAAACATGATCGAGACACCGTATGTAGCGGACCAAAATATTCCACTTGTTTCGCAAGTTTTGAGATAAAAAAATGCAATAAAGTCAAACGCCATAATTTTTACATTTTATTGAATGAAATAATGTCGGAAAATGAGGGAAATAGCATAAAATTTTAGAATAAGTTCAGATTTGTTCGAATTGATCACCTTCGGCATAAATAATGCCCTTCAAACGGCCAATGAAACCGTCACACGCTGCCCGAATGTTGCTTTGCGGTACTTTGGGCCATTCCCGGCGAAGCACTTGCTTGAGGTGATCAACATTTTCGTATTTTCTTGCTTTCCAAAATACTCTAGACACAATAGTCCAACGGATTGGTATCCGGAGATTTCGGTGGCCATTGTGCGCTGGAAATGAAGCAACGAACCTTATTTTGTAACCATTCTCGGGTGGCGTGTGCTGAGTACGATGGTGCTAAGTCCTGTTGGAATGTCCAAGATCTGCGGTCAAAATGTTTGCGTGTCCAAGGCTTTAATGCACCCTCCAGAATATTTTCGAGATATTATTCGGCATTTATTCTGATGCCACGGTCGATTAATACGAGCGGAGAGCGACCATCGGCTGTTATGGCGGCCCACATCATCACCATGACCGGCGCTTGAGTTCTGGTGGCCAACGGAAGGTGCACATTTTCAGCTGACCTCTTTGGCATTTAAACACGATCATTTAGTCTGCTGGACAACGAATGTTTTCTCCATGCCAAGCCAGTGCTGAGTGCGATGGTGCTGAGTCCTGTTGGAATGTCCAAGGTCTGCGGCCAAAATGTTTGCGTGCCCAAGGCTTTAATACACCCTCCAGAATATTTTCGCGATAATATTCCGCATTTATTCTGATGCCACGGTCGATTAATACGAGCGGAGAGCAACCATCGACTGTTATGGAAACCCACACCATCACCATGGAAGGGCTGGAGTTCGAAGGTGCACATTCTCAGCTGACCTCTTTGGCAAGTAAACACGATCATTTTGTTTGTTTACAAACTGCTAAACAACGAACGTTTCCCTGTATATGTATAGGGTGAGATAAAAATCTGCAATAAAGTCAAACGACATAATTTTTAATTTTATTGAATTGAAGCAAAAATATCGGAAATAGCATCAAATTTTAGAATAAGTACAGATTTGTTCGAATTGATCACCTTTCTCACCGGAGAAAACCAAATGCGGCAGTTCACCACTTTCGGCCAAGCGAAGCAACTCTTTAGCTCTTTTGAGTTTGATTTCTTACTGTTGCTGTGTAAGTTCTTGCACTTCATGGAATTTCAATGGCTTTATCCCGAGCTTATTTTTCAATATTTCTCAGAATGGAATATTGCGATATGTTCAGCTCACGAGCCATTTTTCGGCCACTGCGACGCGGGTTTCGATCAGGTCGTTTCTTTACTTTTCGAACCAATCTGCTGATGTTTCTGTTTTCTTCCGCCCACTTACTTGACGCCTGGCTATGCTACCAGTATCACGGTAACGAGCGATGGTACGAGAAACAAAAGATTTATTCACATTTAAATGCAGGAGTGCTCTGACGATATCCTCTTGTGGTTTTCCAGCCAAATATAAAGATCACACTATTACGCTTGAATTCCATCACGAATAACTTTTTTTCTGGAAAATTCACACCAAAATGCTTTTGTACGCTTGCAAACAATATAATGGGCTGTGATTGGAATAATTTTAACAGCTGTCAGACAAGTGGCTTAGATATGATAGCAGTCTAAATTGGTTGCAGTTTTTTCACCTCACCCTGTATATACGGGGCGAAATATAGGTTAGATATACCTATGAACATTTTGAGGCATGCAAATCTGGCTCACAATAACCCCATTTACTTAATGACGGCTTCATTCCTGTGTAAGCATGCTTAAAAATTAAATTATGCCTTTGCGATTTTAATTATTACGCATTCACCTGAAGGCAATGACATACATTCTTTGCCAGACAACTTCCAAGACTACAAATTCTAAACACATCTTTGTATTTCTAAACAGGCATCATCAGTTCTTGCATTTAGACAAACTCCACCCAAGTTTTCAATAAATTCTTCTAGACACGCACATTAAATAAATTTTCATTTAAACTCCACTTAATATTGGGTTACAGCACAGGTATTTGCCCACAATTGCCCATGGCTGACTAATTAGAATCCCATCAAATTAGAAGTATTGATGCGAACTTTCTCTCTACCACCACCCCTTTTTGCCAACCAATGTCAAAGAAAATGCTATAAAAGCAACGACAACTTTGGTCACAGCGAAAATAAACAAAATATTTGCAAAGCTACACATAATGGTCAGACCTCTGTTATAAATTGGCCGGAAAAAGAAAAAAAACATCTCGTCTCTTCAAAAGGAAAAACATTGAAATCCTCTTAAAAAAATACAGAAAAACAATCACAATGCATCTTGAGAAAATATTATTAAAACTCTTTGTGGCACTGGTGCTTTGCCTTGCTCTGTGCACTGAAAGTGTCATCTGCGCCAAGACACGCCACCGTGGAAGGTCAGGTACGTTGAATGTTGCATTCCGACACTGAATGCTTGCCTTTGTTCAATTTAAATTTCCTTTGGCATTTATTCCGCTAATTGGTTTCCACAGCTTATCGACTCTTTCCACGCTACGAAAGAAAATTACGAGCCCAGGGGCGATCGGCGAATTCCTTTACTTCAGACATTGCCAGCGAGGCTGAGGATGAGGGACGCTCCGATGAAGGACGTGGTTTAATGAAAATGTGGAAGGGCATGTTTCCGCAGCAAGAGAGCAACATCATTATTATAACACAACCTGCTCCAACCGCCGGCACCGGTACGGCAGACACGACAGATAATGGAACACCGACGGCATCTCCCTCCACAAGAGGCACTTCCAGTACCTTTGCCGCCGATTTGGGAAGGGACGACATTGCGGAGCCCAACAATCCTCTGGATTTCCAGGATGACTTGCTAAATGCTCCGACTTTAGGTGATAATCCTCAGGATGAGATTATGCCGCCCAGTATCGTTTACGGTCGCAATAAAAAGAACAAAAACGTTAGACAACGCCAGAGACGGAGAAGGCCGGCTGCCCAGTATCAACGTAAACGTAATCAGTTTGAACGTCAACGTAACAATCAGAAAACACGCAATCGTAATCGTCTAAGAGCGGAACAAATTGCACAAATCATTGCCAAGAAGCCTCGGCCAAATGGTAATGTTGTCTCCCTAAACGGCCTCAATGGAGCTGGGGGAGGTGGAGGAAATGCTGGTGTCAGCGGCAGCTCCGGCAGTAGCAGCAGTGGCAGTATTTTCAACATCAACGCCAACGAACGCATCCAAAGCATAATGAATGCCCTCCGGCGCCAAACTCCAATCGTCTATAATTACTAAGTAACCATGGTGCCATGATATGACCTCTGACCTATCATTGCCCTGCGTGAACATTGTAATTTAGTTGTTGTATTCACTGGCGATTATGATGCTGAAGCTGATGATGATGCTGGGATAGATGAATCAACACGAACACTTGAAGAAATTTCCATGCTTAGCAACAACAACAACAATCGCCCCGAATCCAAAAATCAGCCTACAAAATAAACCGCACACAAAATAGAATAATATAATTAACCAATCTGGATATCTTCTCATTCTCTCAGTCTCCTCTTTTCATTTGATGAGGGCATTCATTATTGTTGGGCTTCAATTTTAATGGTGGTAGAGATTTCAAGGGAATTACAGAGAACGAACGATGGATGGATGGCCGGAGTGAATGTAGATGGCTTTATTGAAGCCAAGCCAATTGTTCTCAAAACATTTAATCAGTTATCGTGATAGGTAATGGCTTTCGAACTCCATCCCGAAAAGCACAACCATTGAATTAATTACAAGAAGTTGCAATGACCAATGGTTGTTATCGATTTTAGATTACTTTTGGACATAAGTTATAAGCTATCGGGGAACAAATGAGTTATGGTGTTGGGATAAAATGGTTTCATTCCCAGGGGATGCAAAACAAATATATTTTGGTGTTTTAGTTAGTTTGATTTTTTGAGAGATCAATAAGTTTTTATTCACAATAGGTTTACGGAAAAGTATATTTAATAGAGATACGATTATCAAGTCAAACATTTGCAATCAAATTTTGTTAATAAATTGAAATACAGCTAGGAAATGGATATTAACTCAAATAATTCCAGCAGACCATTAAGAGAAAATAAAATTATAAAAAAACAGATATCACGAAAGTGAAAGTTGACATTTTTGTCATTCTTCTTAATTTTTTAAGTCAGGATACTTGTGTAATCTTGTTTTTCGCAAAATTAACAAAAAAACTCCTTTTGTTTTTCGTCACAAGATTGAGTTATTAGAGATTGGGACAGAGCCTGCAGTAATCGGTCGTCAAACCACTTAGAAGTCATGGTCCTAGTGTTACTGCGACCTGTGATTATTCCCACCAAATTTTTTTGATCTGATTTTGCCATGGAGATGAGCTATCTTGATCTTTTTCCAGTGAGTACAAGACAAATTTTCGTAGAGACCTTACATCAAATTTTATTTAGCCAGTTTTCTTGAATTCTCCCGAATTTAACGTTTTTATATCACAATTGATACAAGGGTATCTTCACCAAGATGACGATCGCCATTTTCATACCTGATCAAAGACTGGTACCTTGTCATTCTGTCCGGAAATATTCGTCGGAGACCGCATACCGTTTTTTCATGTTTGCCATTGAAAATGGATTATATCGGTCTACATTTTATTATAGCCTCCTGATTTTAAGTATGTTGAAGGTTTTGTTCATAATTTCCACCCAAAATTTTTGTAATTCAATGTTTTGAGCTCCAAACGGGTAAGTTATTTTTCAAAAAAAAAAAAAAAATACATGGTGAAGGTCCTCGTTTTCCTATAGCCCCATATAACGAGGAATTTTTATGATTTGAGCCACATTCTAGCAAATGCTGAATTAAGAGCTCCCAGTGGCTTTTACATCCAGTGGAAACATTGTATAAAATTGACTTCATTTTCATATAGCCTCCATAAAATGGAACTTCCGGATATTTTAAAGATCGAAAAAGTCTATCCGGAGTTGGATTCTTAAACTATTCATTGTTCAGGATTCCAGGATTATAGCCCTAGACATTATATGTCTTAAGTAATTTAGCATTGTTCGAACTTTATATTTCGAATTTTAATCGAATTTATTTTTTTTGTAATCCAATTTTGCTCCAATTTTGCAAATCCTAATATTTGCATCAGTCCTAGGTAAGCTGCGAAAATGGACGATTATTTTACTCCTTCTGGTACCTACTCTACAAAGAGTCATCATTTTGAACATTTATAACCCTTACAAAAGGTGATATAAGGGTCCGATTGTATTCAAGTTACACACATCAGAATACATTTATTATCCCAAGGTCTGGTGTGAAGGTCCTCCCCCGCAAAGGGTCAAAGTTACGAATAACCTAAATGATTATTAAATTTGAAATAAGCATCAGGTTCTCTTCATATTTCACTCATGCCATTATTTTTATTACCACAAGATCTGCTATGAAGATGGGATATATTGGTCCACTCCTTCTGGTACCTCCCCCTCAAAGTGTAAACATTTTGAATATCCATGAAGCTCCTAAAACACGAAATTAACATCCGGTCCCATTCTGACATGGTAAGTCTCGTTACTTTCATCAACACAAGATTTGTTAGCAAAAAATGGCAGAGATTGGACCATTTTTTTTTTTACTTTCCCCACAAAGGGTCAACATTTTGAACAACCAAAAAGATCATTAAATCCGAAACATGCCATTATTTTTGCTAACACAAGATCTGCTGTGAAAATGGAATATATCGACGCATTCTTTCTAGTACTTCCGGAAAGGGTTCAAAATTTTAAAAAACAAAACGCGAAAAATCATCCAAATTTCACACATCCAAACATTTTTGCTAACGCAAAATCTGTTGTGAAGTTGATAGATATCTGCCAACTATTTCTGGTACCTCAACCAAAAAGAGTCACAATTTCCAATATTTATTTCTGTCATAATTGCGAAACAAATCTACGATTCTATACAACTTCCTATATTTAAATATTTCCCTTAGCCAGAATGCTGATATGAATATATAACTAATCAGAATTTATAATTATAAATGTTCGATTTTTTAGCAATTTCGGTCCGCTATATATGGTACTTCACCCATATTTCCACATGTTTAAAAATAAATGCACATATCTCATATAAAGAATAAGAAGTAGACGATATACAAGGTGAGATGAAAAAACTTTGGAAAGCAAGATTGGCACTAAAAATACCAAAGTTTCGATCACCTCAAGCACGCGCTTCGCCGGAAATGAGCCAAAATATCGCAGAGCAACATTCGGGCAGCGTGTGATGGTTTCATTGACCGTTGGAAGGTCATAATTCGTGCCGAATTCGAACAAATCTATACTTATTTTAAAATTTGATGCTATTTCTGACATTTTTTCCTTTCAGTCAATAAAATATAAAAAAAAAAAAAAATGTAAAAATTATGGCGTTTGACTTTGTTGAAGTTTTTTATCTCACCCTGTATATCTTACATAAATTTTTTGTAGAGTATTAAGCACGTAGAGAATTAAAATTGTGGCACTGTATCACTTCATTTATTGTTTTCATTTAAATATTCAAAAATACTGTATCCTCTTCAAACTATTGGCAAATGCTGAAAATGGATTTTTCGACACTCGCCTTTTGCGATTTCTGCGTCGGATTGCCTGCGGAGGTGGGCCATAAACAATTCTTGGTAAATATGGTCTACTATAGATGGGCGATGGTATGGGTACACGCATATAACCCAAGCGTAAACCTGCTCCTCCTCCTCCTCCTCCAGTTCCGCCATCACCATTACCTCCACCACCGGTGCCACCACCACCTGTTCCGCCACCCCCTGTGCCACCACCACCTGTACCACCTCCACCAGTGCCTGTTCCGGTTCCAGTACCCGTTCCCGTACCAGTTCCAGTGCCTGTACCGCCACCTGTTGTTGTCGTTGTGGTGGGGGCAGCTGCTCCATTGTTGGTATTGACATTTGTCAACGTGGCCGGAGAATTGACAATGACATAGGGTACCATATTATTGCCACCACCACCACCTGAACCTGAGCTACCCAATTTCTTGAATAGCAGAAAGTGTTTAAACAGACGTCCTTCATTGTCCACAGTTTTATCCGATTGCACGGTTATTTCATCCGAACTTGGTATAATTGGTATTTCACTAATATCCTCGACATTTGATTGCACTTCGATGGAACGATAGATGGGCACTGCTTTGGGAATTGTATTAACTGAAAGTTCAGAGAAAGATTAAAAATATTCCAAAATTATTATAATTTCCCAAGTGTACCTTTCTTCGAGCGTCCCTTGGCAGTGACAATCGCCAAAGCCTCAAATGCCACCACCACAAATAACACAATCCGCAAACTCCGCATAATCCAAATGTTTGTCCTAAACTATGGCACGATCTGAGCTGTGTTCCAAGTTTTATATTGCAACTCAAGTACTTTGGCCATGAGGTGCCCAGCCATTCGAAGACCATTCTCAGAACAGCCACCTTGTGTTATCATGTTCCGACAATAATTGTTGCAATTTGTCTTTGTGCGACTGGGTCTTATCACAATTTCACATCTTACCTGCTTTCCCGTCTCTGGTCAGGTTTACACGCTTGGCCACTGACCTGTTAAAGTTCAGTCTGACAACAACCAATGGGAATGATGACTGCTGCTATTGTTGTTGTTATCGTTGGTGTTGTATGTAGTTGTCGTCATGGTCGACACAATGCTTCTTATTCTTGATTCTCTTCTCTATTGTTATTGCTGTCGTTGTTGTTGTTGCGATTGTCTTACAAGTTAAATTGTTGGACAAATGTTATTAATGATTTGTTTATTTGGGTCATGTTAAATGAATACTTCTCACCTTTCGTCGACACGTCTCGTCTGGTCTGTTTCTACTTCTGTTTGTTTTCACTTTTCACAAAATTCAATGAACGGACAATTTATTTCTCCAGATTAGAACCTTTAACTGATAATGACGAAATTATTAATCATTCGTTTTGAGTGGCATCGAGCAAATTGTTTGACCTGCTGAATGAAGTGAACGAACCTCTGGTAGCTGCTAGACATTCGGTGAAGTGGCCGCAATTAAATTTAATTAATTGCAATTTACATTTAGTTTTGTTTGCAAACAATTGAATTTATCGCCAACCGAAGGTGTGTACAAAGTGGTTGGGGGATAAGAAGGAATTGGAATAGTTATCTGCAGTGTTGAGAGTTGAAAAAATATTGGATTTTCATTAACTTATTGTTAGATTGAAATCAAGTGGTTTTAATGTGAAGGGAAAAGCAGCCAATCTTTGAGTAGGAACATTTTATATTGGGGAGAAGGTATGGAATTAATTGAGCCCCAACCCTTGGATGATATAAATACATTTCCGGATATCTTTTTTATCATCTGAATAAGATAAACGTTTTTCAGTAAGTGTAAGTCTTGGGGAAGAAATGGAATTGAAGATTTTGGGGGAGGTATATATAATCTTGATCAGCATAAAATTCGATGTTGATTTAGCGAGGTCCGTCGAAAATTACACTAGCTTCGAACGAATTGAAGTAGATTGATTAAAATTTACTTAGATGTGTTTTGGGTCTGCTTTTGGCATTGAATATGGGCTATGTAGGTCCACGTTTTGGTGAAGCCCCCATTTAAGTGTGCCTCGAGATATCCGATATTTGATTATTTATGCTCCACATTTCACCGGAATTACTACATCCTATGACAGAAAATTTACTACACAAATCGACGCCTTTGTATTTTTATATTCTTTATTTTGAAGATTATAGCTACATTTTCCAACGGAATTATTTCAAACTTCGTATTTAGAGTTTGTAATAGGCGCCGCTTTCTGTAGCAGATAACTGGATTTAGGGGTCCACTTTTTCGTATATAATTGTAACACCATAAATTCGGAGTTTATTAATTTTATAGCGTCATGTTCATCGATTTTTTATATATATTTCAAGTTTCTTCCAAATTTTGAAGGGTATTGAATGTTCGACCTGTCCGAGTTTAGCTGCCTCTTATTAGGAAGGAAACGAGATAGACCCATATTTACTTCTGAGGATCTTCATAAAATCACTTTCTGATTCGGTTTATGGATGCCAAGTTGTATGTCCGTCCATCCATGTATTTTTTGTAAACAAGATGCAGGTCGCATTTATGATCCGAATGAGATATAACTTCCACCAATATTTGTTTGGCCCAAGGACAAACCCTATTTGAATTGGTAAGAATCGATTCAAATTTAGATTTACCTCCCATACATATCTTCAATCGATTTCGGTCGATTCAACCGAATTCAATCTAGAAGCAGATATATCAAATTCACATTTATATATATTATCCGCTTTGGAGTTTGAATCTCTCGCAGGCGTGCGATGCACTCTAAAACAATGATCTTTGGTACCAGATATATGATATAACTTAGAAATAAGTGCCAAAAATTTTGTCAAAATCGATTAAGATTTGGATATAGCCATATATAGGGTGAGGTAAAAAGAAACCTCAACAAAGTCAAACGCCATACTTTTTACATTTTTTAAACTGTATTGCATGAAAGCAAAAAAATTCGGAAATAGCATCAAATTTTAGAATAACTTTAGATTTGTTCGAATTGGTCAACTTTGGCACTAATTATGGCCTTCAAACGGCCAATGAAACCGTCACACGCTGCCCGAATGTTGGTATGCGGTATTTTGGCCCATTCCCGGCGAAACGCTTGCTTGAGGTGATGGTCACTTTGGTATTTTTTAGTGCCAACATTGCTTTCCAAAATACTCCAGACACAATAGTCCAACGGATTAGTATCCGCAGATTTTGGTGGCCATTGTGCGCTGAAAATGAACGGAGGAAACTCATTTTGTAACCATTTTTAGGTGGCGCATGCAGAGTGCGATGGTGCTGAGTCCGGTTGGAATGTCCAAGGTTTGCAGCCAAAATGCCTGCGTACACAAGCCTTTAATCAGCCCTCCAGAATATGTTCGCCATAATAATCATCATTTATTAAATAAATAGATTAATACGAGCGGAGAGCGATCGCATCGGTTATTATGGCGGCCCTCACCATCACCATGGCCGGCGCTTGAGTTCTGGTGGCCAACCGAAGCTGCACATTTTCGGCTAACCCCTTTGGCAAGTAAACACGATCATTTTGTTTGTTTACAAACTGCTGGACAGTCATTTTTTTCTCATCGGATAAAAACAAATTCGGCAGTTCAACACTTTCGGCCATGCGAAGTAACTCTTTAGCTCTTTTGAGTCTATTTTATTTCTGCGGCGGTGTAAGTTCCTGCTCTTTTTGGAACTTCACCCCGAGCTCATTTTGCACTATTTGGCGAATGGAATATTGCGATTTGTTCAGCTCACAAGCTATTTTTCGGCCTTTGCGACGCGGGTTTCGATCAAGTCGCCTCTTTACTTTTGGAACTATTTCTGCTGATGTTGCTGTTTTCTTCCGTCCACTTCCTTGACGTCGGGCAACGCTACCAGCATCACGGTAACGAGCGATGTAAAGAGACACAACCTATTTATTCGCATTTAAATGCTGGAGGGCTCTAACTATAGCCACTTGTGGTTTTCCAGCCAAATATAAAGAATCCCACACTATCTCGCATGAATTCCGTCACGAATAACTTTTTTTCTGGAAAATTCTCACCAAAATACTTTGTACACTTGTAAACAATATAATGAGATGTTACTTGAATTATTTTAACAGCTGTTGGACGATTGGCTTAGAAATTACAGCAGTCTGAATTTTTTTGCAGGAGCTCAAAAATACCTCTTTTATCTGTTATTTTATCGATATCGGATCAGATTAAGGTATAACTCCCATATATATCTTTGTTAAATATTAAGTATATTATGCACAAAGTTGCTAATATCAGCCAAGTGGATTGAATTTTGGCAATTCCGACTGAACTCGTCCTGAGAACAGGTACCTCAAGCTTGGTGAAAATCGGTTAAGATATAACTATAGCTCCCATATATATGTTTTATCCGATTTGGTGTAATATGCACTCTACAACAATAATTGATTGGTTCAGATTTGGATATAGCTCCTATATAGTACCATATTAGAAATTTTCGTATCCTAAAACCCTTTTGAACATCTATCCTGCACATAATTTGTGGTGGTCTTCTCAGTTTAAAATCAGAAAATTGAAAATCCTTTTTGAATTCTTTGAAATTGTTTTAATACCCTCCATCATTCTATGGCGGGTATATTAACTTTGTCATTCTGTTTTAACTCCTCGAAATATTCATAATAGACCCTACAAATCAGCGTAAAAGTCTACCTTCCGATATTCGGTATTTTGATGATTTCAGCAACTATATTCACCAGAATCGTTTCAATTTTCGTACTGGAAATTCCTGATGGGTACTACAACCAATGGCAAAAAAAAATTGTATGCAAGTTCAGATCTTCGTGTAGCCACCATATAACGGTACATCCCGATATTCGGTATTTTCGTGATTTTAGGGACATTATTTCAAATTTCGTATTTGAAGTTTGTAATGGGTGCTATAGCCTATGACAAAAATTTCGTATACAGGTCCACGTCTTCGTGTAGTCCCCATGTAGCGGCTTTCAGTTAAGTGGTAATTTTCGGATTTTTTTTTTTTTTTTTTTTTTTGAAAAATTTGAAGTTCCGTTCAAAAAGTTAAAAGTTTGGCCCGGCTTGTTTGTTTTTTAATATTCTTAGCTTTTTGTTAAAACACATACTAAGCTATAGTTATTATACATTCTAAAGGTATATTTTTGCTGGTATACCGAATGACCTCCATCCCCCATCCATCGAATGATAATACTCGATTTGATAAGTTGTGGAATCTTTAAATTTAGATATTTGAAGCTCTTTCGAACCATTCTGGTAAAAACAAAATATCTTTGAATTGAAATACCAAATGAAGTTACTCGGCAAGGTCCTCATAAACCATGTCTTAACTCGCTGCTTAAATCTCAATAACGACAGAAAAAAAGGAAAAGAAAACAATTTTCGTAATGTGTCTGAATGTCGTTACAGATTTAATGTCCTCCACTGAATCATTTGTCAGTGGACATTTAAAGCAGCGGGACTTCTGCCACACATGCCGAAATGTATGCGGTTAGTGCCGGAAAAAAAGAAGCAAACACAGGAACCAGCACAAACATTAAATGCCACAAAAAAGAGAAAACATTTAGTGAAATTTCCTTTTCTTTGTTGTCTTCGTAGCGAGCTTTGCGAAGGCACTTCTGGTTAACAATTCTGATTGCCATTCCCTATTGCCCTGTTTTAAAAATCACTTGTGCAGTGTTAATAAAGGATATTTATAATAAATCGCATATTTTTCTCTCTCTCCCTTTTATGGACACGCATTGCGGTTGAATACCACAACCAAACAGTTCAAACCAAGAAAAAAGTGAAGCGGCAACGGAATTAAAAAAATAAACTCAGAGATTGATTTTTCTCACATATTCCTGGCAGTTAAGCAAAACCAAATAATTTCTCTCTTTAAGTTTTGGCT